CCGTCACCGTTCCATCTCTAATTTCGTTTGATCATAAATTAGAGACCGAAATTAATCCGATACTAAAATTTTGTTACTATTTCATCTCAAATCCATATTAAAATTATTTTTTCGGTATTGTGTCGTCAATTAGGAACGGAATATGTTCCATCACTAAATGGCAGATTTCTTGTAGAGTATGTATATATATATATATATATATATATATATATATATATATATATATATATATATATCCATGAATTTCAACCAGTTGGGCTAAACAAACTTTTTGTTTTAATAGATTATCCACTCATTCGATTTTTAATCTTGCACCAATTTCAACCTATAGCCAAAAAAAAAAAAAAAAGTGAGGTGTTGAGTAATTGAGTTCATGAAAGAAAAAAAAAATAGCTTAGTCCTCTATAGTGAACAACTCTAATTTATTAGATAATTTTGTCTATGTGTTTTGTTTTTATTTTTCTACAGATGATGTCGTAAACTCAGTCTACCTAATCATTTCTCTCAATTCAAATTTAGAGACTTAGCAGATTAAACATTCCCACCCTTCTAATATACTTGTTGAAATTTTATGGCCTGGTCTGAATTTAAGGACGAACAGGAAGAACAAAGCATTTAGAGTACCTAATAGTTTATCAAGCTCGTAAAGTATCTATAAATATTCTGCATTCAAAAATCTCAGGTTCAATCCTTTAATTTCTGACAAATAAAAAAATAAAACATTCTGAAGGAGGAGAAATTAAGAGAGGGACCTTATTGATGTCAATTCTTGCAAGATAAACATTTCAATTTCTTTGATTATGGATGTGTTGATTGGAAAGAATGGTCCAATCGTCCAAGAATGGTTTCATAGTCATCACGCAAAACACAAAACAAGATCATGATGTTGTGCGTTTCCACAATATTGACGTTCTTCCATTGCGATCAGCAACTATGACGTATTTATATTGATCTTAAGAACGAAGGAATCACATTGCTGAAACTTTCAAGAAAGAAATGTGGACGACTTGGAAGTAAACGTTACTATTATTTAATTTGTTCACTGGAGACTTTTGGACCCTTTTAATTGGCGTTGACATAATCAAGACCATCATGCCTTCTTTTCTTTTCTTTTTTCTTTTTTCTTTATTATTATTATTATTTTATCTCCAAGAGATCCCAAACTTAATTAAAAGTACAGACTAATTTCTTATACATTGTTTTGTGGACCATACAAGATAAATATAGTTTTTTTTTTTGTGTATAATAATATTTATTTAAACCACTAGAATTTTTCTGCTCAAAATAACCCTCTTTCTTTTTCAGCTTTGCATATTAGCTTGTTGGAGTGTGTGTGTGTGTAAAGAGAGAGAGAGAGAGAGTTTTATTCATGAAATTATAATTAGTCTTTTTAGTTTTCAAAAATAAATTAATTAGTTTTCTTTGTTTTAAAAACTAATTATTTAGCTTTTATATTTTTAAATTTTTTTATAATTTAATCATTTTCAATTTAAATGATTTTTGGTTTTAAGAAATAGGAAAAAAAATGTAAAAAATATAGAAGAATTGATGAGTAGAATGACAATTTTCAAAATAAAATGATATTAAATTAAACACAGTTAATACTGATTAAGAAACTAAATACTTAGTTTTAAAAAAAACTAATAAATTTGTTTCTAAAAAAAACAAATTGTGTATAATTTACTCGTGTACTACTTATACGCACAGAAACTCCAATTAAAAACTAAATTTCTGAACTCTAATAGAAAAATTTTATAAATTACAAGCATGATAAATAGTGATCTATGCTAGAGGTTGTTAGTGAAATCGCCAAGGAAGTTCCCTTACGACATCTGCTTAGATTTTAAAGAGAATCATGCAAATTATAGTGGATTTGTGTTTAACGCTTCCAATGGTAATCATGGGTGCGTAATTAATAGATCGTAATCAAATTTGAAGATCTAAAATCATGCTTTCCCTTTATAATCTAACCAAACTTAAGCCCACTTCAAGAATAGGTGGATGTTTGTTTTATCATTGACTTGGGTCAATTGGTACTTGGCCAATAATCTTAATTTTGTGTGCTTTCACATGGAGAGTCCTCGATCTTCAATTTCTTTGATGCAACTATGATTTTTGACTATAATGTGAATTGTGCGTGAGGTATGTGTATAGGGTAAAGATTCACAATGATAACTGTATTAATTAGTGGGTGTTAGTGGGTTCACAATGTACGTACGTAAACTCATTAATTAGTCTCCCATAAAAAGTGCTCAAAACACTTTATTTATTTAGGTGATGGACATATTTAAAGAAACTTCCTTGAAACAGATTAAGCAATTAATAAAAAATACAGGTCTCCATCCCACTACTAAAATGAGAAATTTTAGGTGCTTAACTATTAATTATCAATATTTATTTTATAAAAAATAGATAGATACAAAATGAAAAGAGAAATAAGAGAGAACAATTAAAAAAGAAAGAGAGAAATATGTGTTTTTATCTATATTATCTAAAAACCAATCAAAACGCAGTATGTGTCTTTATTTGTATTTTTATTTATATGAGTAATAAATAATTAGTTTTTTAAAAAAATTAATTAATTCGTTAGTTGAAACTAGAGAGACAAATTTTATTTTATTCCTCTCAAATATGGCTCTATTGAAAGTATAAAACAATTTAAAACATAGCAACAAATATTCCTTTCCTCTGATTTATCTCTTTCTCTCTCTTTCACCTTTTCCTCTTCTCTCATCGTTTCAATATTTTTCCTCAATTATATTTACCGTTCTACACCTCTCACCTCCTTCGTCAGTTGAAACGCAGAATATGTACAGGGTAGAGATTCTAGTATTAATTAGTGCGTGTTAGTATAGAAATTTTATAATATATATATATATACTAAAAGAGTAATCACTGTAAGTTACTCTATTAAAAAACAGAAAAAGAAAGAGAAAAAAAAAGAAATAGGAGAGAAAAAATTAAAAAAATTTTAAGTTAAGATGGAAATTTTTTTATCATTTTTTATAGGTCTAGATATGATTTTTTTCATATGTTTATCTCTCTAATCAAAAATAAATTTATTGAATAACTACTGTACATATATACTAATTATTCTTTGAATATTATAAAATTTATGGATGTTAGTGGGTTCACAATTTACGTAAAAACATTAGTCTCTCATTAAAACTGCTCAAAAACTTTATTTATTTTTTATATTTATTTAGGTAATAGACATACTTAAGAAACTTCCTTGAAGGAGATCAAGCAATTAATAAAAAGTACAGCTCTCCATCCCACTACTAGAAGGAGAAATTTTATGGTGTTCAACTACTAATTATCAATATTTATTTTATAAAAGAAAATAGACACAAAGACAATGAAGAAATAAGATAAAAATATTTAAAATAAAATTTTTTATGATATTTAACAAGCAAATATTAATATTTTTATCACTTTTGATATGTATAGATGTGATTTTTTTTTTTTTGAATTTATTTCTTTTTTCAAAATAGAACTATAGAATAAGTATTGATACCAGTGTCGCACTATAGAAAGTTCACCTATGAATCAATATTTTTGCGTCTTAATTTTATGAGGCTGGTCTGAATTTAAGGACGCAAGCCCAATGCCTCTTTAAAGGCCCTATTTTTCGTAGGGCCCCCATTCGTAAAAGGGATACCAGTGTCGCACTTGCTTAATAAACGTTTTAAAAGAAAAAAACGAAAATTTATTCAATTTTATTAAATAAATGTTATTTGCTAAGAATTCTATAGAGAAATATTTAGGAAAATTATAATTGCACTCTCAAAATTTGGAATTTTTTTTCAATCAACCACCTGACTTTTCAAAGGACAAATTATTTTTTTGTTAATGTGAGAGATAGCTTAAAAATGACCTTTCACAGATCTATATTATTATATTTATTTGGAACCCACAATTTCAAAGATGAGTGAAGTTTCCCTTTATTGGAGACAAAGTTTAGAATTTAGATACTTAAATCTGTCTGTTTTAGAATATATTAATAAATACTTTAGTGGTTGTAAGGCTTAGTGAATTGAAGGCTAATGAAGGTGGATAATCAAGCTAGAAAAATTATCATTGGCCTAGAACTTGCTGCCCTCAATGGAGCTAAGTGGTGGAAGAAGAAAAAAATACAGTCTATGGCTGATAATGGAGACAAGACTTTAATTCATATAGTTGAGCATCCACTTTTGCTTTACACTAGATTTGATTAGGTCATTCTTCATGATCTATATACTTTTCATCATCCATAGCTTATAATTTATAGTATATAAGGCCCATAGGAGCTTATGATTTGTGAAAAACACAACTAAGAGAATTAAGCACTGCTTGTTTCCAATGGCCACCCCCATTTCTTCCATCTCTCTTACCTTTTTTCTCAATGCTTTTCTTCTTCTATGCCCTTTGAGCTCTTTGAATAAGGGTTATGTTGAAGGAGATGAGATTACAAAAACTTATCATCATAATATTAAAGTCAATTCTCTTCTGCCACCACCTGCCTGCAAGGAGTCTTCTAAAGGTTTAATCTCTCCATTTGAACTAAACTATCTTGATTTATTATGTTGATTGTGTGTGTATATATATATATATATATCAATTTGGTTGATCCTCTTTTATTGGGATTGGCTGTGAAATTTGGGATATGTTAACAATATGAATAATTAAATATCATGTCTAATTGCCTTTGTTAATGATGTCAAGAAAAAAATTTATTTTCATTTGTGTTGTTTACACAATACGAAAAAATATTAACGGATTTTTTTGGTTCCATTTTTTGTTACTTTTCTGTTTAAGTATAATCCCTTTTAAAAAGATATTAGTTTTTTTTTTTTTTTTTTACAGTAAAAAAATCATTTGACTTGTAAATTATCACACTGATGTAAGGTTTATGCATTTCAGTTTCCAACAGTTTATCCCTGGAAGTAGTGCACAGGCTTGGCCCATGCATTCAACTACTGGATGAAGAAAAAGTAACAAATGCTCCTCCTAATTATAACATGGAAATCCTCCATCGAGACCAACTCCGAGTGGACTCAATTCATGCTAGGCTCTCAAGTCGTGGTGTTGTTCCAGATAAGCAGACTGCATTGCCTGTCCAGTCTGGGGCATCCATTGGTGCTGGTGATTATGTTGTTACTGTGGGTCTTGGTACGCCGAAAAAAGAACTTACACTCATATTCGACACCGGTAGCGACATCACTTGGACTCAATGTGAGCCATGCGTGAAGTCTTGCTATAAACAGAAGGAGCCAAAGTTAGATCCTACCAAGTCAACATCATACAGAAATATTTCGTGTTCCTCGCCATCGTGCGAATTAGTCAACACAGGTAACTACCCTACGGAGAATTTCTTGATTTTAGGTTATTGTAGTTTTATAGACAAATAATTGAAAATACATATCACCGAAGGTTGGGGTGAAGTAGTAAGAAAAGTGTCTATAACTTACCAAGTCAGAAGTTTGATTCACTCTTGAAAAATTCTTTTTTTTTTTTTTTTTTTTTTTTTGGCACTGAACATTTACTGTCCGTCAGTAAACTTAAAGAGTCCGACCAAAGACATGCCCATAGATATAGATGCTATTCTAAAAATGTTATGAATTGTATAGCTTATAAGGACATATGAAACGCCGCTATTGCTTATGTCTAACAGCATTTGTGTTCAATTAATGGCAATTGTAATAATTAAGTTTCTCATAAAAACCCAAGGTCAAAGCCTACTGTAGTTGCTATTCAAGATAAACAAACAATTAATCCCACTAATCATGAATAATGAAGGCAGACTATAAAATTTATTTGTAATAGCATTGTCCTCAAAATGTGGGGGTAGTTCCCAAAGATTGCCCCCAAGAACTCAATTTGTTGTAGAAATTTTTTAATTATACGATTAACTTATAAACAATTTGATTCGTGCTTATTATCTAATATTTGATTCAATTCTAAATTTTCGTTTTTATAGGAAGATGTTGGTAATAAGATACAGTTTGAAATTTGAACCATGAGGAGTGTTATCTAAGCATGGTTGTATTTCCCTATTATGCAGAAGGTGGACAAGGTTGTTCTTCCTCGACATGCCTTTACCAAGTCCAATATGGAGATGGCTCGTACTCCGTTGGATTTTTTGCCACAGAAACATTATCCCTCACATCAAACAGCGAGTTCAAGAACTTCTTGTTTGGGTGCGGCCAACAAAACGAAGGCCTATTCGGAGGAGCAGCAGGTTTGCTAGGACTTGGTCGCACCGAGTTATCCCTACCATCACAAACAGCTAAGAAGTTCAAAAAGCTCTTCTCTTATTGCTTACCAGCATCCTCCAGCTCCAAAGGTTACCTCAGTTTCGGTGGAAAAGTCTCCGAGACCGTGAAATTCACTCCTTTATCCAAAGACTTCGAATCCACGCCTTTTTACGGCCTGGACATAACTGGACTTAGTGTCGGAGGACGCAAACTTTCTATAGATCCATCAATTTTCTCAACTTCTGGAACCATAATCGACTCTGGCACGGTCATCTCGAGACTACCTCCGACAGCATACTCCGCCCTAAGCTCAGCATTTAAAAAATTGATGACAAAGTATCCTTTGACAAGTGCGTATTCTATCTTGGATACTTGCTATGATTTTAGTAAATACGACAAGATTACGATACCCAAGGTTAGTGTGTCCTTCAAAGGCGGCGTCGAGATGGATCTTGATGTGACAGGAATTTTGTATCCGGTGCAAGGATTGAAGAAAGTTTGCCTAGCTTTCGCTGGAAATGATGATGATAGTGATACTTCAATTTATGGAAATGTTCAGCAGAAGACTTATCAAGTGGTCTATGATGGTGCCAAAGGAAGGGTTGGATTTGCCCCTGCTGGTTGTAGCTAAAATGACCGAAAAAAATCTCGAGTAGTTAGCTCCATATTATATATAGCAATAAGGAGTAACTTAACTCGAAATGAACAGAAGATCAGCTTATATCATCTGGACATGAGCTGACATGAAAAGGATAACGAGAGGTGGGTTTGATAGTTAAGAAAGTTTGCATACAATATATGGCAATAAGCTCTCTACAAAGGACCGAGATTCAATTCTTCGTTACTTTGCTTTGTACATGCAAAGAGTACCAATAGGTATTCCAGCTGAATGGAGGGTTAGGAGATGCTTCGTATTGAAGTTAGTAAGTGTGTTTTAAGTTTAAAAAAAATTGTGGAAATAATAGATATTTGTCGAAAATTATGGATTGTCTTCCCTTAATCCACGTTTCTTAACAATTTTGTGCTAAAACGCCTATAATGGTCTTCTTATGGTGAAATGAGGTTATTAATTAACATACTAGAACACATTTTAAAAATAAAGTGGATTAAATTAGTGATAGTTTTTGTTAAAGAACTATTTTAATCTAAAAACTTAAATCAAAATTGATGAGTTTTCAAAAATGATTTTATATTAACTCTAACACAATTATATTCATGAATGATAACCCTCCCTCCTCCAAGAGATTACAAATTCTAGTCCGTCTTTTGTAAATATATATTTTCAACTAAAAGGCTTTTTCGGTTTGAATTAATTTACATAGACTACCGAAATTTTGAAGTTTTAATTTTTAATTTAATTTTGAGATAATTATTGGAGTTTTACTTGCCACTAAGAGTCTCTAGATGAGTCTTATATTGAAACTAGATTTTCTATTTTACAAAGAAAATACCAGTGGATTTTTTTTAAAGAAATCTAACAAGGCACAAATCAAATCAACTTGTGGGTGAATGAGTGGTGAAAGTCCAAACATATAAAGTTTTGAAAATTATGTGTTCGGAGAGTAGAAGAGTTTTGGGAGTCATGTATTGTGAGAATGAGCAGAGCTTTGAGAGAGAGTTATGTTTAGTAAAAAGTGAGCCAAAGTTAAAAATCATCTCTTATAAATGATGTAAGGTTGGTATTTATAGTAAAATGACAACTAATTTTTTTTTTCGTAGAGTCGTGTCTTGTCATTTAGATTTGGACCTTAAGATATGAGCCAAACAAGGAAAAATGAGTTCTTCTTTTTTAGCTAAACTCGCTTGAACTTGTTAATAAATATTAAAAGAAGTATCAATTTTTTTTTTTTTTAACAAACTCTACTCTATGGCAACCAAGTTAATCTTCTGAATGTGTAATAAAAGTAAGATATAAACATTGATCTTGTTTGAAACGAGTATCCATATATAAACAGCCAAAACCTTATGTTAGACAAAACCCATTATCAATTTAATTTATTTTTCATGAATTAATTCATAAAAATAACTAAATTATTTAATTTAGTTTAGAGACAAAAATTGAATATATGCAGAGTCTACATCAACCCCACAGGATATCTAGGGCTAAGCAAATCCGGAAGAGTATGTTTGGGGCTTAAAAGTCCCAAAAACCCACCTCACCCTTTCTCCCAAACAGAGCTCTATTTTAAAGACTTTTTCAAATAAAATCTATTAATAAAATTGTCACTACTCGACGTCGGACGGGACTCTAAAAAAAAATAGAATAAAATATTAATTATTATTGTATCGAATTACTTACAAGTTTAGAGTCGCCACCTAATATTAAGGAAATAGAAACCTAAAAGTAGCACTCGATTCGGAGATTTTAAGGTAAGAAGTTGGTTATGTTTTTGAAAGATATTTAATTATCCAAAAGTGTCATTTTCGAAGAAAAGTACCATGTCTAATTTAATCCTAAATTCATTTCCTAAAATATTTTATTTATGCCAAATTATTTTTCGATTTTAACTCTAATTTTTAAAAGCCAAATTAAGTTTTTCGAGTTTTGGATGTGGTATCATAATGAAACGATCACGGTTCCCTTCGTCGGGCGACACATTGGTTCAAACATAGGATTCACTTTAAGTCTCGATACAATCGGTGTGTCGGAGAATATCCTAATTATTAAATGGTGATTTTTTATAACGACAAGTTCTTATCAAATAAGAGACTTAGTCAATAATTTTTATTTTTTTATTTTTATCAAACGAGAGTCCCTATTGATAGGAGAACTAGTTGATAATTTTTTTTATTTTTTCATCAAACGACAATTCCTATCGGATATGAGACTTTGTTGAGAATTTTATTTTCATTATCTTTTTGGTCAACCGACAGTCCCTATCGGATAGAAGACTTCGTTGATAATTTTTATTATTCTATTTTTTATTTTTTGATATAAAGAAAATTATCATCTGTCCCTAAAAAATACTCAATAATCCTTTTATTTAATAATTATCTAACCTAATTACTAAAAAAATAAAATTATAAGATTTAAAGCTAATAACAACTAAAAAACAAAAATATCTAAGAATTGAGTATAAATTAATGCAAAAATAAAAAGACAAAGAGAGACAGAATATTGAGAGTTAAGTAAAAAAAAATGAAATCAAAATATAAAAAAAAAATCTTGTCGAACCGGAGGCCCATTAGCCCATGCCTTACTCTTTTTTTTATTTCCTTTATATATATATATTGTTCTCCCTTTTCCTCTCTACCTTCATTTTACATTATTATCTCTATTTTTTCTTATTCCTTTTTATTCTTTCTTTCGGGAGAGGCCGCAATGGTTATCCGGCCTCCTTTCTTTTTGTTTTTTTTTTAGTTGGGGTGAAGGGGAGAGACTGGACCGAAACCAGTCCAGCTTCTTATTTATTTATTTATTTATTCGGTTGGGGGAAAAGGGAAGAGGCTGGACTGAAACCAGTCCAGCTTCTTTATTTATTTATTTTTTTAAGACCGGGTCTGTGTTGGGCTTATGCCAGCCCAGGTTCTTGTTTAGAGTGGGTTAGGTTGGGCTTGGCCCAACTCACATTTTTCCTTTAAACTAAAAACCAATTCCGGAAACAGAAATCACTTGTTTCCCCTTATTATTTTCGATCAAATCCCTCTTTTTACTCTCTTCCTCCCGTTCTTCTGCCTTCTCTTAGCAGTAAAGAAACAATTCCTCCCCTTTTGCCGTGAATCCCAACAATAAATATTCACTGCTTTACTATCCTCCTATAACCTGGCTTCCTACTTCTTCTATTGTTGATTAACGAGATGGGTTGAGAATCAGGGGCTCAACATGGCAGTGACCATGTCACTGCTGTATTTCTCGCCTATAACCTCCATTCAAGGACCCTGGCACTTATGGAATAAAAATAAGTAAGAGATGAGTTTAAAAGCACCTTGATGAAATGGAAAAAAAAAATGGGATGGCAGATATGGAGATCCTGGTGTTGTTGCTGTTGTTGGCTTGTGATTGACCAGAAAGCTAATTATAAAACCCGAAGAAAAGAAAAACGAAATGGAGCCCAAGAACTTGAATAGCAAACCCAGAAAATGAAGAGCACAGCTACTGCCCAGAAAACCTAGAAATGCAGCGGCTATTTCCCCTAAAATCCTTTGATTTCACTCTCTCTCAACCAGAATTCTCCTCTTTTCTTCCTAATCCCCCTAAGCAAAGGAACACTTGCCCAGAAATTAAGTCCCTGAAGAACACCGCCCAGTAGCTACCCAAAAAAGAATTGCCCAGACAATGACAAACCAAATTCACTACTAACAGCCTAGAAATCCCCTAATTTGCTTTTCGATTTTTCCTTCTTTCCTTCTTTCCTTCCTCCCTTCTCTACTGTTCGAACATCCTATTTATAGCCTAAAACACATTGATTTTCCTCTTAATTTTTCCAGATTCCCCTCCCCTGTTTCTCTCGTTCTTGGCCCTTTTCCATGCTTGAACAGGTCCGTTGCTTTTTTCTTTTTGCTACAGCGTAACTTGCGGCTCAAACTGGGGGAAGGATGTGCTGGCTGGTAGTCCAAAAAAGTTAGGGACGAAGGGACGTTCGTTACGTTCTGTAACAAAGTCCTTAGCATGCCATTGTTCCTCTCTTTCAAAAGAAAGCAGAGGAACAGTCGAATGTACCAATTAACTCAAGGGTGGACGACAGGTCGTCCATAGCCAAATTTCCAAGTTCGTCCTGTCGTCGTCTTTATTATTTCGATTCAGTCCCTTATTATTTCAATATGTCTACAATTAAGGCCTTCTAGATAATTATTTTGGTCCCTCTAGTTGCGATTGTCCCTAAATGCCTCTTACTTTTGCTCAATAGCTTCCCCTAGCTTTAGGTATTTCAAAATTGACCTATAGTACTCTAAAATAAATCACAATTGGATGCTTAAAAGTAAAAAAAATTAACTAACTTCCTTTTTTATTCTTCTTTAATTTTTCTGTTTTTCTTTCATTTTGATTTTTTTTTCAATTTAATTTTAATAATAAAAAATAAAATTTTTATTAAACTAAACAATAAAACAAGATGTAAGCCAAAATTTAGATAATGACAAAAACCATAAAAATAAACTAGAGAAACTTCGGAATATAACTCGTTTTGGGATTTTCTAACATAGGTTCGATGTAAACTGCACAGCCAAATTTGCATTGTTTGGATTGACTATTTAGCCGAAAAATCCGAAGAAAAAAAATCTCATCCTCGGTACCAAACCATTGCGATTAAATTATAAATCAGTCCATTTCATTTAGAAAACAAATTAATTAGCATTTTAAAAAAAACTAATTATTTAATTATTTTTGTTTTAATTTTATCAATAACTTAATTTTTTTTATTAGTTTTTCGTTACATTAGAGATTTTTATTTTCAAATTGTCTTTTCTTTTTATTTTTGATTGACGAGAAAAAAATAGCTATAGGTGAAGCAGGAAAATAAGACATAAAAAAAGGTAATTTAATTTAAAAAATTACTCATCTAACATAAAAATTGATTAAAAATCTAAGTTATTGACATAATTAAAATGTAAAAAACTAAATAATTAATTTTTAAAATAAAATGAATTAATTAATTTATTTCTTGAAACGACATGAACTGATTTATAATTTACTCAACCAATGCTTCCACGCAATGCTTGATTTCTTTTTAGCCTTTTGGTATTTTCTTTGGAAATGCATGCGCTTGCATTTGCTTAATTTGCCATAATATCAAAGCTGAAATAAGGAAATTATAAAATCCAACGTGGCTCCATCACCAAGCTGCCTGTAAAAAAATGGTAACAACGTCTTAAAGGAATTTGTCATAATTGCTTAAGAGAAAGTAATGAGTTTGTCTAATTTCAAGTTTTCGGTGGTCAAGATGATTAGCAGGGCAACCGTATTGAAGGGTTCAATGCTAATTGCCAGCTTGTTAATGGCTCCTTTACCATTCGTTTTCAGCCCATTAATTATAATTAATAGATGTATCCGATAATTTAAATAAAATATAGGAAATCAAGAGAGAAAATTTGGAAGATTATTGGAAGTTTATGATTTTGTTATAAGCACAAATAAATTATTAGTGGTAAAGGTTGTCACAAATACAACAAGACATCCCAATTTAGCAAAGTAATAGACAAGTAAAAGAGCAAAACCAACAAAAAAAAAAAAAAACCAAAATCCTAGCCAAAATAGAGCAAATGCACATCATGAATCACAAAGCAAAATTATTTACCAAAAAAAAAAAAAAAATCCTAATCTTTATGCTCTAATATTACGAAATTACAATGCCATTAACCCCTTCAAAAGGTATTTCCACATTCAATGGTGACACAAATCCATATTATCGTGTCCCTCAAGGCAATATGGCTGCTAGCTGGAGTAATTGGCGGAACTTGTATGATCAATGGACGATGATAATTGACAAATGCCTTGACTTGACTTGACTTTTAAAATCCTAAGTCTTTCTAATCGACTTAATTATGTCCAATAACAAATGGGACTACTATAGGGCCGTTGCCTATGTGATTAAAAAAAAAAAAACTGAATGACATACGCCATCAGATTATACAAATAAATCTTAACCATTCAAAATAAAACGTAAAAAACTGAATAACCTACTTTTCTTGTTCAGAATTACCAATATTATAAAATTAAAAAAACCCATGAATACCTATAATTAAAAATTACAAAAAATAAAAATAAATAAATAAACAAAAAAAGAGAGAAAAAAAATTATAGCAACGTTCGACTATCAAAACTAACATCAAACGAAAGTTCTTGCTGTCGAATATGTTGGCACCAAAAGTAAATCATTTTGAAATGAGAGTTATGAGGATTTGAAATTTTAGATCTAAAAATTTGCAAATCAATTTTTTTGTTAATTAGTTGTCTAAAAATAGTTTTTGAGGTTATTTTTTAGTTTAGAAGAATTAAAGGAATGTTTAGAAATATTTTTGAGAAAAATAAAAAGACAATGGGGATTTACTATATTGCCACTTTGATTTAGCTAGAATCCAGAGCCTCAAGAAGACTTGAACGATAGGTCGTCCAAGGCCAGTTTCTTTCTTTTTTTTTTCGTTTGATTTTTTTTGTTTTTTTATATATTTTTTTTAATTTTGAATTTATCACTTTATTTTATTAACCATATAAATACAATAAAATATGTTATTGGTTTTTTAATTTTCTAACGAACTATTTTTTATGCTATTTTATGTTTATAAAAGCTATTATATGACAATTTTTATACTTTTAACTATTATATTTTTTTAGGAAAAAATTAATTATTAAGAAAAATAAGTATTCATTAATTGTGCATTGAAGTAAAATAATAATAATAATAATATCGTGTGGTAGTCCAATTTTTAGTTATAAAGAAAATACACAAATTAATGGATATAAAGAATTGCTTTGTGTGTGTGTGTATTTATGTATTTTAATGAATTTAAGTTAATATGGTCAATTTTTTAATTAATTTCAATTAATGTCTGGACATTGATTTTTTATCTTATATTTTTTTATTTTTTTATCTTATTGTATTTATAACTTTTCTCCTAAAAACAATATTTGCACATTTATATATGTAACCAAAAATTCAGATAATTAACTAACATTTCAACCACATGTGAATTAAGTTTTTGTTCACACAAAGCAATTCTTTATGTTGTCTACTTGTTTAATAAGTTTAGTCACATACTTTTAATAAACTGAATGTTAGGTGTATATATATATATCAAGGTAGTACACCTCATCTTCATCATGATTTCTTTTTCCACAACAATTATCGTTGTGGAAAATTTTTTCCATTTATTTGCGTGTTTAAGTCGTTGATTGACTATCTAGAAAACGAGTTTAATAATGAAAAAGCATCACTCTAGTTGGACATGCAATCCCTCTTAATTTCTTCGAAAGCTCTAAGTTGCTACACGGAATGGGGGTTAGGGACAAAATTGACCGACTAACTAAACGAGAGAAGGTGTAATTTGTGACTGAAAAATGAAGAATTCCACAGGGCGGAGAAAAACATTAGGCAACAGGAAAAATATCCTATATCACATACTGTATTATTTTGTCCAGTTGATGAAGCTTCCTGATTGGATAGATTCATGAGAGAAAATTAATAATTCTTGCTTTGGCTTTTATAAGGTGGATTAAATATAAACAAGAAAAATCAATATTGGATAATAATTGAGAAAATTGGCCTTGACTTAGATTTCTTAAGGTCTGTCTCCCTCAACCTCTGGTTGTGATTCATCCCTATTAGCTTATATAAGGTCAGTGAGGCTAGCCAAGAAATCATTGTGGGTTTATTTTTGAGAACAGAATTTAGAGAAGTACTTGCATTTTCTCATGGCTACTCTCATTTCTCCCATCTCTCTTCCTTTTGTCCTCTATGTTTTTCTAGTTCTTCTATGCCCTTCATGCTCTTTGAAGAAAGGGCACACCGTTGAAGGAAATGAGACTACAAAAAATTACTTTCGTACTGTCGAACTCAATTCTCTTCTGCCATCAAATGTCTGCAACCAATCCTTCAAAGGTTAAAATATCCTTGATTTATTATTTTCTTTAAAATACTTTCTATTGTGTTTGACGCATGCTTCTAACTGATTTTCTATGTATACTTTATGCTTGTGTTCTAATTCTTTCGATGGTGAAAAGAAACAATATATTGTCCTAACTCATTTTTAGTGATGAATAGTTGGAACTTAATCTTAGTGCATATTTTTTAAGGTAATTTAAAATGGAGTAAACTATTATGTTATCATTACTCTATACATTTTTAGCCAAATAATTAGTTAAATTCAATTTTAAATCCTTGATTTTGTTATTTATTTACAACTTAATTCTTTCATTAGTTTTCTACAATTATTTAATTGTCTTTTTTTTTAATATTCTTTCTTTCTAGTTAATTTTTAAAAGTTCATATAAAATGGGAAGTTCGGATATTAATAAAAGGATAGACGGTCAATTCCAATCAAGTAATTAATTTACAATTTTCAAATCACTAACTCACAAAGTTATAGACAAAATAGGGATTATACTATAATTTAATCTTTAAAATTTCTAGGAATTATGCCTGCCTGTTATATACTCTAAAAAAGAATCAATTCATCGAAGGCCCATAGGTTTTTGGAGTATACAATGTGAAATAATCATTTCTTATTATATAATTATCAAAAAAAAAACTTTCGCTAACTCGATATACAACTGCTATGATAAGCCTATTTGTGTGTATACTCTAAAAACCATGATTCAAACAACTTTTGCCTGACCTTTCATGTACACTTAAGAGTTTTAATTATATATATATATATATATATATTGAGACTTCGAGACGTCTTGACTAATTTTATGGCTGTATTTCAGCTCTCCATAAGGCTTCAACCTTAAAAGTGGTAAACCAATATGGACCATGCATTCAACTGACGGGAGATCCGAAAACATCCAATTTTCTCTCAACAGCTGAAATCCTCCTTCAAGACAAAATCCGAATGAAATCAATTCAAGCTCGACTTTCCATGAACCCAAGCAGTACTGATGTTTTTAAGGAGATGCAGACTAAAATTCCAGCCTCTAGGACACCTAATGGAGCTGGATATGTTGCCACAGTCGGTCTTGGCACACCAAAAAAGGATTTCACACTTTTATTTGATACTGGGAGTGACCTTACTTGGACTCAATGTCAGCCATGCTCAAAGGCTTGCTTTCCACAAAAAGAAGAGAAGTTCGATCCAACCAAATCATCCTCATACAAGAACGTTTCATGTTCCTCAAAACTTTGCAATTTAATTGGTAAAGGTAATTATCAGTGTTTCTTTTTAACATATTCTTGATTTAAGAATTTAAACTTACATACCAGCAGGTGATCTTGGAAACATGGATCTAGTTTATTGCTAGTAACAATATGCTTGTTCGATCTAAAAAAAAAAAAGCACAGATATTTTATAATTGAGATATGTAGTTGATTTCAAGCATATATTTACCATCCATATTGCAGAAACGGCACAAGGCTGCTCTTCCTCTAATACATGCCTTTATGGAGTCCAATATGGCAGCGGCTACACCATCGGATTTCTTGCCACAGAAACACTAACCATTGGATCTTCCGACGAGTTTGAAAACTTCTTGTTCGGGTGCGGTGAAAAAAATGTCGGCAGATTCAATGGCACAACCGGTTTGCTAGGACTAGGCCGCTCCCCCATAGCTTTTCCATCACAAACTACCAGCAAATACAAAAATATCTTCTCTTATTGCTTACCAGCTTCTCAGAGCTCAACTGGTTACCTCAGTTTCGGTGGCGAAGTCTCACAGGCTACAAAATTCACTCGAATATCCCCAAAAGTCCAACAATTCTACGCCTTAAACATTGTTGGAATTAGTGTTGGAGGCCGCAAGCTACCAATAAATGTATCAATTTCTCAAACAGTCATCGACTCCGGCACAACCATTACATTTCTCCCATCCACTACATACTCAGCTCTTGCTTCTGCTTTTCGAGAAATGATGGCAAATTATACTCCGACGAAAGGATCATCCAGCATCCAACCATGCTATGACTTTAGTAACCTTGGCAATGGCAGCTTTCGGATACCTAGTATTAGTGTTTTCTTCGAAGGTGGGGTTGAAGTGGATATTCATAGTTCAGGGATTTTGATCCCTCTGAATGGTTTGAAAGAGATGTGCTTAGCATTTGCAGACACTGGTAGTGATTCAGATTTTGCTATTTTTGGAAATTTTCAGCAGAAGACATACGAGGTGGTCTATGATGTTGCTAAGGAAATGGTTGGATTTGCTCCTGGTGGTTGTTAGCCCGAAATAATTAAGGAAAGTCCTGAATCTCCAATGATTAGGTCTAAAAAAATAATGATTGTAGTATTCATATAATAAAGACCATCGTTTGATTATTAGTTATTAATAACCCCTCATACAGCCATAATTAAGAAACACTTACGTACAAGGTTCAAATTCTACTGTCACACATGATGAAAGAAACTAAATTTTATCACTTTTATTTTAAATATGATTAGTCTTATCTCTAATATCACTATAAAAAAAATTTCGGATTAATGACGGTCTAAACCGTCTCTAATCACATGAAACCGCTGATAATTATTTTTAGAGACGATTTTGTGATGATCCAAAAACCCTTGAAAATTGCCGGTTGGTAAATTTTGCAATGGTTTTGCAATGGTTTGAGACCATCTCTAATTTCGCGATGGTTTAGAGACGGTTTTAGATCGTCTCTAAATTCTACGACAAACTAGAACTCGTCGCAACAATCGTCACAAAATTGCAACGGTTTTAGTCCGTCGTAGAATAAACGAAATTAGAGACGGTTTATTCCGTCTCTAATTCCGTCGCTAATGGCCTTTTTAAAAAAAATCTCAATTTAAAATTTAAAAAATACCGAAAAGATAAAATTTAAAAACTGAAAAATTTATTTAAAATGTAAAACATTTTATTAAATTAACGAATTCTCATAAACATCATAAAGTTTTTTGTTATAACAAGAAATAAAACATAATAAGCTAGGATTAACCAGCAGGATCTTCACTTGGAGGTTGGGTAGAATCGTCTGGAGGTTAGATGGAATCGTCGTCGGTGTTAGGCACGATGGATGAATTGCTCGAATGCATTTGTCGCATCCGTGTCATCATCGCTTGTTATTATCGACCGTACTCCTCCAATCTTTTAGTTATCTCCACCAACGATGTGATAGTAGACTCTAGCTAACTATATCAATCCTCGCCTTCCTTTCGCTGTACCTCATCACCAATATTACGATGCGAAGTTGTCGAACTAGAGGTCGTATCGACGTTGGAGTAGTAGTGCGATGCGTGTGACCCGATTCCGTACATTCTCCTCCTCTTACTATCTCCTCCACCAATGACGGTCCTAAATATCTCATTAATGTTGATGTCCAACGATGAACTCCCCACGGTCCGTCTGGCTAGCGACCTCCTCCTCAATCATTCTTTCTACGATCTCCCGAATAATTGTGAAATACAAAATATTAAATAGTTATATATGTTAAATAACGTTAAAAATTAATATATTTGATATGACGTAAAAAACTAAAAGCTTACTCCGATAATTCTTGATCGTTGATTGACGAATACGTATTGATCATCAACCTTTTTCCGATGGGTCCTTTTAAAAACTTCATGCGGATCGAGTTCACGACCCAATAACTCACGCTGAAATAAGTATATGTAAATGTATGAAATATACTCAAACTTTTAAATAATTATATTGAAATCAATAAAAAAAAAGTACTATATATAAATACATTTACCATGCGTATTGCTTGCTCTCTATGGCTTATTAACCCCTCATATGCCTTAAAGGACCAACTCCGACGCTACCGGCCTCGCTCCTCGTAGTTTTTGTGCCGTCATCTTAGATCAAGCAATGGCTTCATGTTTTGCCTATTTTGCACGCCATGCATCCTATACGTCCCGCGAGATATATTCTAGCTTCGAGCCTTGCTTAAGATGAAAAATAAAATCGAAATACCGCTTTTCGAGCCAAACGTTCCCATGCTATCTTAACGGTGAACTTGATATTTCTTTATATTGTGAAGTAACATCATAAATTAACTAAATAAAGCAAGTACCTTAAACTCTTCCCAATATAAGTTTTTTACTTTCGGACTCATTTTCTTTCACGTCCATCTAGAAATGTGAACATATTCGCGGAATGTCTTAGTGATATACCGAGAGCAAACATTCGAAGGATACAACCTATGAAAGTAGCCATCAATTTAACAAATAAATGAATATATAATTATGGTAATGAAGGAAAATATTTTCATAAAATTATGCATAGAACGTACTCATTGCGACCAATAAGAATGATCGAAACTTGCGAATCAACCGTGGGTTTGATAGGTACCGAAGTCGATGGACAAATCACGTTCCGTGACCTTACTTGTTCGGGATCAAAACGGTTGTCTTCTTGCGATGACGAAGGCACCGACGATGATGAAGAAAAATATGCTAAGAGATGTTGAGAAGACGAAGGAAACGGCTCGAGCTCAAGCCATGAAGAGAATGATGGGTATATTGCGGCGAAACTAGAAGGGTGGTACGAAGGCATCCGTATGGGGGGTCTATCCAACCCGAAAAGGAAGGAGAATAGCATCTACGTCCATGATCGGCACTCGAATCGGTGTCCGAACCACAACCCTCATCGTATGACATGGGCCTCTAAGGCCAAGTACATCCTCGACCTCGAGGTATTTTCACTTACATACTATTTCATTCATTAACATTAAAATAAAATATTAATTACATAATACTACCACACAACATTCATATTACCGTGAATAATTTCACATACATTTAAATTTTTCTCTTTAAAACAGGGATGATACCCCGGACATATATTGAAATAAGGTGAAAAATTACATGGGTGGACAAAACCAACCTAGCCCAACAACATGGGAGGATAAGGTTTCCTAAACCCTTATTTGCTACTAGAGTATATAAAATTCTAGTCGACAATATTATGAGCATTGAATATAAAAATCAAGATTACATAATGTAATAGCTAAGATCTACCATGTCGCTAATCAATGTCATGATCATCATTATCATATTTTTTATTTAAGCCTTCCTCAACATCCGTTTCAAACTCAACTTCATTCTCTATATTAATTTCATTATCTTCTAAATCGAGTAACGCTCCAATTGGATCATTCAATAAGTGATCCTCGTCGTCATCAACTTGGATGACTAGTCCATAATCATCATGAACTCTAGTACCACTCGTCGTGTGTTGTATCATACCAATCGGATTTGAATAATACGGTTTTCTTGATTGGTAAGGTAGGATACTCAAGTTTTAGTATATCGATCAACCTACCGTAGTAGTCATCTTCCACCACACCGTAGCTAACTCCTTTTACACACACGTCATTACACATTATTGATCTCTCCGAGCCATGAATATCGATATGAAACTTATACCCATTTACAATGTATCCTATATATGACTTATCCGTTCGCAATGGTCTTTTTGTAAGATCTTTGATGTAATGATCGATTATCGTATTGGATTATGCATTACTTATTTGTAAATATTGGATCCAAGACTTACTCGTTAGTATGATAAGTCAAAAACTATTTTCATAATAATAAGATCATAAATTTATATTACTTACATATCGACGAAACCAGGATGCAAAATCGGTTTCAAGTCGAACATCTACCCGTTCTTCGATATGTCACGATCACTTTCATAATGTTGGGTGATAAAACATCTTAATAACAAAAAATGCTTAATTTCATGTTATTCAAATGATTGATACTTAATTAATAAAGTTCAGTATTGTATTATTTCGTAATTATATCACTTACTTTGTGTAAGGTGTGACCTCATCATATTTCAAGAAAATGTAGGTATGACATGCATTCTTTTCTTCATCTATCAAGACATGTGATCTTCCTCGACCTAGTGGTCAACCTTTGGGTTTGAATACTGCAAGCATTCTTTCAATGTCGTCATTTGGTTCTCGAGGGTACTCAAAGTTTTGAGGTATTTTTTGATGCCTAGTGTGTACATGAGGCTCAAAGTAATAGGAAAAAAATTTTGAGGCTTCTTTAACTAAATATGCCTTGTATATAGACCCTTCAAATCCGGCTTTGTTCTTAACATTGTTTTTAAATTTTCGAAGGTACCTACAATATGATAAATGCATTATACTTAACAAATACATTTAAGAGTTAATTAATAATGGATGTGCAAAATAATAATAATATTTATCTTTCAAATAATACATCCATCGATATTGTATCGGTCCTCCTAGTTTAGTGTGTGAGGTTGTGTATAGGTGGTAAAGAAGGTGGTAGATATTGAAGCTATTTAGTAAGATGGGTTAGATGGGATAGTGTCTTTAGTTTACATACCTCTCTTGGTTGTTCCGATAGCTTCTTGGTTGGTGAGTTTCCACTTAATGAATTTCTCCCTCTCTCGCTTTTGATGCGTATAGACACTTTCCTCTCTATTCCCCTATCAATTTTTCCATCTTTGATTGCTAGCTTAACTCGCTTAGCAATAATTATAATACCGATGAAATTTGAAAAGGAATGATCGATTAAATATTCAAATTGGGGTGCCTTAAAAGTATTGGAGAATATCGAGATTAATTTTGACTTAGGAAGTGGTGGATGAATTTAAACTGCTACTTCATTCCACTTTTGGGTGTATTCCTTAACTCGTCTCCTTTTTTCCCTTTAATATGCCTTGTAGATCGAATGGTTCGAGGCTACTTCGATGTTAAATTTATACTACTTGAGAAAAGCATCGGTCATATCTTTCTATCTTTTGATCTTAGCTCCCTTGATCCTTGTATACCGACTCAATGCTAGTCTCTCTAAACTCTCCCGGAAGTGGTGTATCAATAGCTTTTCATCATGCACTAACTTAGTCATCTTGTTATAGTAAACCCTTAGGTAGGTTATAGGATATTGTGTTTTAGTATATTTAGTGAACTCTAGTACCCTAAAATTCTTTGGAATTACTATATCGGGTACCATGCATGTCTCTATAGCTCTAACAAGATCATGGATGTCCCTTATTCGATAGTCCTCGGGTGTTCCTTAACGACAAACAGACTTATCTATGTTCAATCCTTCTATTATTTTGTACTTAGGAGTCTCTTTACTAATGAGGTCTATAATGGGTACTTCTAGTATATATGGAACTCATGGATTCATCAAATAAACAAATTTTCTAATAGGATAAGAAATCTCGACATGAAATATTATTGCCCTCAAGTTGTTTAGTGGCATAATGGATGGCCCAAA